AAAGAGGACAAGGCAAGGACAGGTGTCCCTTTGAACAATTCAACACAAACTGACCATTAGTATTCTCCTACAGAAAAGCCTTTCTAAAGCTGTGATGATTAATCTGAAGTAGCAGGGCCTTTTAAAGGTCTCAAACAGAACACAAAAATCAGGACATCCATTTCACATTGACATTTTTATTAACGCCAACTGTTTTAATTTTTTTTTTTTTAAACAATAGCACAAAAATGTTTCAGGGAAGCAGTCTGACAGTTAGTCTGATGACCTTCTGAAATACAGTTAAGCCACACCAAATATGAATTCCTGTTAAAAGAAAAAAAAAGTGGAAACTCAAAACCTTTGTATTAGGTGCATGTTGTGTCTGGTTAGTAGACCACACTGTTTTATGAAGTAAATGATGGCACACAGTTTAGACTTCATCATCACGCCAGTCATCACTAATTTAAGGCTTCTGAATCAAATTACCGTCAACATCACAGAAAGGAATGAAAAGCTAGTGTTGCTACGGCCATGAGGAGATTGAACAAGCTGGATCTTTTAGACAAGTAACAGTGTCTTGAACAAGGGGCCTGCCCTTATTGTGGCCCAGGAAACCAGTCACACGGTACTGTATCTTCTCATTCACATGCATTTTGAGGATGCAATTAAAAAGAAAAAAAATTAGATTTGAATGAATCACTCTCATTTAATGTGGCTACGAAAGATGTTTCCTTACAATTCCTTTATCTCTAAGAAGGACATCAGCAACTGGAACCAAGGAGAAAAACCAAAGAGCGACAGAACATTTTTCTTTTTGCCAAGAGGTAACACAGAAGGAAGGGAACCTACTATCCTTGGATTTGATTGGAGGCTGCAGGAAAAATAAGTCTCCCAAAAACCACGCATTTGGAATTATGCACAGACTCAGACTATGTTATACCAGCTACCTGCCTTTCTGAGTGAACCTTTCCACGCAACCCGCACTGTAATGGTCTTGTAGATCTGTCTCTCTCTCTCTCTCTCTCTCTCTCTCTCTCTCTCTCTCTCAGAGGCGTTAACCCATTCCTGCCCCAGACTCGCCACAAAATTCCACTGACCCAGACACCTCTGGTTGCCTTTTTTAGATGGTGTAAAAACAGAACATCTGTCAATAAGAGTGTAGGGGGGTGTTAAATATTTTAACCACTGACAAGGCTTGAGGAAGTTTCACAGTTTTGTTATGCTCTATTTTATTACTATCATATTTACAGATTTTTTTTAATTATTTTTTGCTGAATTGCTGATAATTTTTAATAGAATTTATTTCTGGAGTGTGAGCAGGAACCAGTTAACTACATTCATTGTCCAATCCCCATTGGTATTGGTTTGAGAAAAGACTCCAAATTCTTGGCATATGAATCAGCTGTTGGGTAGCTCCTCCCTCTCCCCATGATGAGGCAGTAGGACTGCAGCAGCTGCATGCACAGATTCACACCATGGCTGGCGAGGCCTTGCGCTGCAGGAGATACTGGTGGATGCTCTCTGTGTCCCGCTTCAACCAAGCTGCATTCAGCAGAATATTTTCACAGCACTGCTGGACAGTGCGTTCTGCCGATGGAGCTGGGTGACTCTCAAAGAAAGCCTGTATGAAAATACACAATCATCTGTAAGGGCAGAGAACAGCCAGAGACAAAAAATACATTTCTTAGCAGTTAGATTTACCAGCTGGGCAGAAGAAGGTGCTTCTATGAAAGCAATGATTACAGCTTCTAGGGGTCTCTCATGCCATCAGTCCCAGTGAGACCACAGAGTCTAACAGCATGAGGGAAAGGCTGCAGGATACACTCCTGTGACATGTAACCACACGTACAGTGATGACAAAGCAAAACATCTCCAGTATGTCTTTGCTCTGGTAAATAGTCACTAGTTTCTGCTCAGTGTTACCTCTCACCTCAAGGTACTGGCTGCTAGGGATTTGGCAAGTCAGCCTTAAGGACAGGACCAGCATCTATACTATGGTGGGAAAGCAACAAGTACATTCAAAGCGTGCATTATAAGCAACTTAGAAGACACCAAATTAAGCCCGAGGTCTTAATTACAAATTTGTTTTATTTTTTAGCTTTATTTTACTGTTGTAGCTCATTTTTCCTTTTAAAATTATATATACAAGTATCTTAAGGAATTACAAATATCTTTGCAAAGTCATATTTATGACTATGCTGCTTTTAAATCACCCTGTCCCAAAAAGAGTCTGGGCATGCTGACAGTGTGATGACTAGAATTTTGCTGTATACAAACATGCCCTTCTCCTTGCCCCACCACCAGAAAATAGTTCCATCCAGAAAGATCACTCCATTCAAGAATGCTGTCACTTACTAGCTTTTTAGAATCAACTAACCACAGGCACAGAATGGAAGATGAAGTCAAAATAAGGATATGCGATTGGTTGTGCTCATTTCCATACAAACAAGCTCTTCCCAACATAGACAATTCTAGGTCCTCTCAAGACCTAACAAGTAATCTGGTCCATCCCCTTTACACAAGGCATGATCAGTCAAACTTCTTGACACATCTCTCTAGCCTAACTTTTAGAGCCTCAAATGATGGAGATCCCATAGCTCTCTGAGCAATCTATTCCAGAAAGCTTTTTTCTGGATGTTAGTTTAAATCTCTCTTGTTATAATTTAAATTCATATCTATCCCCAAAGGACAAACAACAATTTTTTAACTTCCTCTTTACAGCAACCTCTTTACATAGTTGAAAACCATTATACCTTCTCTAGACTAAACATGCCCAGTTCTTGCAATCTTTCTTCACAGGCCTCTGTTCATTTCTGTTGCTCTCCTCTGGACTCTATTGGGCCACATCACTCTTGAAATGTGGTCCCGAAAACTGGACAGTAATCCAACTGAAGCCTTTTCCTTGCTGATGAGGGTGGAAAGATCACTTCCTGCATCTTACAAACAACAGTCCTGCACATATATCCCAGTAGGTCAGTAAGATTTCACTTTTTCTGCAAATGTGATATTGTTGACTCGTATTCAGATTGTGATCCTGTACACCCCCAATCTTTTTCTGCAACCCGCCTATGCTAGTCATTCCATGTTTTACTTTAATGCAGCTGACTATTCCTTCTAAAGTGTACGGTTTTTTGCACTTACCCTTCCTGAATTGCATCCTATTTGTTTTAGACCATTTCTTCAATTTGTTAGTATTCATTTTGAATGCTAATCCTGTCCTCCAAAGTGCCTAACACCTCTCTCACCAACATGACAGAGATTTGCATATCTAATAAGTATACTCTTTTCTATTATCCAAGTCAGTAGGATGCAAATGGTGACTACTACCAGACCGAGGATAAAACCTTACAGAATCCCACTTGATCTACCTTGAAGCAGTTTCTTATACAATATTTTTCTAACTTACACAAAATGTCATGCAAGTCAGTGTCAAAAATCTTACTAAAATAAAGACCTCATCATAGTTATGGCTTCTCCCTTATCCAAAAAGTCTGTATCCTGTCAGAGAAGGAAATTAGGAAGATGTAACATTATTTGTCCTTGAGGCATCAATTGCTACTGTTACTTACCACCTTATTATCTTCTGATAGCTTACAACTTGATTGTTTGTTCTAGTATCTTTCCAGAAATTGAAGTTAGTGCAACTAATATATAATTTCTTGGATTTTCCTTTCCCCCTTTGAAAGATGGGCACTATGTTTGCCCTTTTCTAGTCTTCTTGCACCTCACTATCTCCGAATTCTCACAGAGGTTAACTGCTAATAGCTCAGATAACTTCAGCCAATTCCACAAGTATTCTCAGGTGAATTTCATCAGGCTCAGATAATTTGAAAACATCAAAGCACTCTCTAGCCTGTTATTCCCCGCCCTCCCATTCCAGCTTTAGTTTTTGTTCCCTTAACACTGCTGTTGACTGTTAGCTGTGGACTGTCACAGTAAATCTTTTAGTGACAAAGAAAAAAAAGGCATTAAAACTAGGGCCGTGAGAAGCTTCGGTTGCCGATTTGATTCAGAGGAGATTTGGCTTGATTCAGTGGCCAAATCTCCGAATCAAAATCAAAATCGGGAGACCAATAAAAAGGTCCAAATCAATTTGAAACCTCTGAATCAATTCAGAAAAGATTCAGAGAGCTTCAGGCAGTCCCTGCTCACTACTACAGGGAGCTGGACCCGGACTCCATGCTGGTAAGTAGGGGGTAGGGGGAAGGGGATCATGGTGGGTCCCCTGCTAGGCCCCATCCCCTGCCTGGTCCCCCAGCCCTCCAAGCACCCCCTGCCCACTCTCCCAGTCAAGTCAATGGCTGCCCTGACCAGCTCTAGTGTCCCGGCGCTTTAAAAAAAAGCGCCGTACTCACCAGATGCTGCAGCGGCCATCGGGGCCTCTGGGGGCTTTGGGCAGAGCCCCCCCCACACTGGGCAGTGGGAATCGCCACCCCCCCTCCCCCCCCCGCCATCTGGCAGAAGCAGGTGAGTGTGGGTTTTTTGTTTGTGTTTTTAAGGGCTGGGCAGGGCAGCAGGCAGGGGATGGGACCTGTTCAGTTCAAGGATTCGGCCAATTGGGCAGTAGCCAAATCTCTGAATTGGATTCAGTCAAATCGATACAGGGGACAGCGATTCAAATCACCAGATCGAATCACTGTTCCCCAAATCAGCCAGATCCAAACCTGAAGCAAATGCTAGCCATTTTGCACAGGCCAAATTAAAACACTAGTCTTTTCTTGGCATCACCCATTATGAACTTTCCAACCCCAGTGTGTAATGGACAAAATCTTCTTGGTCATCATCTTGACAATCTAGATTTTTCCCTATATGCTCATATTATTATTTCACACACATCCTTAGTAATATGCAACTGGAACACACATTACTGACTGGAAGAACCACCAAGAACTACCACATTAGTGTGCAAGATAACACAATGATCAGGATTACTGTCTCAGAGTTCTGTTTGCTAATTAGGATACGTGCGTATCATTTTAATTATGCTTCAGTGTCCTAGCAAACAATTTGTAATATGTTCTGTAAGAAAAATTAGTTATAATGTAAGGCCTCCCTACAGCACTATCTATGCTATTAAACCTTTGAAAGATGGGATGAGACTTACAGGTATTTCAAAAGAAAGATGAGGTCTGAGGATTACAGCAACAAAAAAGTAGCCAGCATAGTTTAGCTGTTTTTCAAAGTATCGATTTTCTTGCCTTGAAGGAAACGACTCACTCAGAGTTCACATATATCAGCATAAAATGAGTGTTCAATTGGAAAGCTACAGTAAACAAAGATGCTCCTAAGAGCTGAAACTGTGCATGTTATAACTGGATTGCAAGGTCAGAGATGATCCAAGCAGGGTGTGGGGCCAGAGGCAAATCAGCCTATGCAGGGCTCCACCCCCCCCATGCCCCAGACTCGAAGAAGCTGGCAACAGATTTGGTGGGGGGTGGGGAATGTTGCCAAGTAGTCAGATGTGAAGCTGGTGGCAGTAGTGTTGAGTCGCCACAGCCGTATTGCCTGGCTCCGCGGGGCCCCCCAAAGCACAGGGCGTGGGGCAGTTGCCCCAACTGGCCCTCCCCCCTAAGGACAACCCTGTGCAAGGTACTCCCATTTAAGTCTTCTTTCCCCACTTTCTTTGCTGGAAGGAAAATGCTTCCCTCTGCATACTCAACGTTGCTTAAATAGAAGTTTAAAAGATGACCTATGCTGGTACCTTTCTACACTAATGAAGGCTGCTAGCATAAACAAGATCCAAGTCAGTCCTCCTCACCCCATATCAAGATGTCTTCAAAGCAAACGAAAGTTGCATCCTGTTTTTTGAAATGCACTAAGTGACTAGTGGTTGGAGTACAGGGACACCAACACAAATTCAACCAGGTCTCCACGTTTCTTCAAAATTTACCCTCTACTTTTATAAAACAGATTTAAGATTGATCAGTAGAGCTTGCCACCCTTCCAGATGACTGTACCTATACTTAAAAATCAGGAAAAAGAGTTAGATATGCATTTGCCCACACTCATCACCTTAATTCTGCCCCACCCCACTCAGCAGTTGTAAAAGCCTCTGGGATTATACTGGATGTAAATCTGAGTTAGGGTTGCCTGATAATAAGCAGACAATGAGGACCAACTATATAAATGTGTCATTTATTGTAGTGTGTTGCATCCCAAAGAATTATGTTCTCACATGCCCCCCAGTTGCCCTGCAGTGTAGTAGGAACACCTCTACTGAATGATTACAGGGATTACAAACAGCAGCTTGCTGCAGCTCATACTGTGATAGGAACAGAGGTTCATTTGCCCCCAAAAGAATCATGGCCCCTTTGTCCCACTGTGCTGAGTTATGTGATTGGTATGGAGCAAAGGAGCACAATGGCTTATTGCCACAGGGATTTGTAGCAGACTGGTCACAGATGTGACAATGCACAACAGGACACTTAAGTGCAGGTATGGTCCCAGAGATCATCCTTATGATAGGGGTTAAGAGAGAGAAATATCTGACAACTCTTAGCTGGCACGTACAGAGCAGATGAAGCTGCTGCATACAGACCAGGCACAGGATGCCCAAAACACGCATTTTTCCTTAGCAAAAAACCAGCTCAGTGGTTTCTCCGAGTCTCTGTGCTGTGGCCATGCACTGCCTCACAGCATCTGAAAGGTAAGTGTGCTACAAATGTCCACTAAGGGCACGCTAAGGCATTAATCAAAGAGGACAGAGTTAAGGCTGCAAGGTGGGGTTCATTTCTGAACTCTGTATTCTAGTATTTCAGAGGTTTTAGCATAGGTGACTTCTAAGACCTAAGGAGATGCAAGGTACTGCTGATCAAGCTGAAAATCTGTGTTAAAAGTTCAGGGCAGTGAATTTTTCTTGTCTTTTTGAGGGGGAAAGAGTAAAAAAAATAGTGGGAATCTCACTTCCACTGAGCTGCCAGCTCTACCTTTTTCCTGGTTCCCAAGCACCCAGTAGAGTCGGAGTGGCTGTGGTGGTAAGTCTTTTTCTCATGTCTCTACACCACATCTGACCATTTTGTTACACATGCCTGTACTTGTTTATTGTACTTTGCAAGAACTTTCGTTGTACGCATGCCTTTGAGCAGCGGGCACTGCAAGAGGTGTTGCATAGTCTGCCATAGTCACAGGTGGTTGAACTGATGGTACAGTCCCACTTCTTCATTAGTTCCTTGGAACGTCTCTCCCGTACGTAGCATTTGAGACATCGCCACCTCTGCCATGGTTTCAGGTATTTTCTTCAGCCTCTTGGTTTCACATTTGTAGTCATGTCTCCTTGGGTGTGACATCAAGAAGTTGGGTATTGGTGAGGAAGCTCCTGTGTGACTTCAGATGTTTGTGTGCTGTGGGATGGTCGTACAGCAGGTGTCTCGTATCTTCAGTTTGTCTCAGTTGTTCCATCTTGCTGGCCACTGCTCTTCTGATGTCAGGTGGAGCAATATCAGCCAGGTACGCACCGTTTAGTTCTGGTAGGCTTCAGATATCCTGTGATGCATCAGCAGCTATCATTCAGAATGGGGTTAAGGTGCTTTGTGTGTAGATCTTTCCCATACAGGGCATACGTGCAGTGGTTTGGATACTTGAGGGGCTATCTCCCTATTTTGAGTTGCTGAGCTTATAACGTTGTTACGAGTACTCACTTTGCTTTTCTCTTCATGGTGTGTTCTTTGTAAGAGAGGGTTCAACTGAGGGAGACTCCAAGGTAAACTGGATTTGGACAATGGGATAGTGGGGTCCCAGACCATATAATGTTGAAATGGTGGCTGGCCCCGTGGTTTTTCAGATGGAAGGCATGTGGAAGGCACTTGTGTTTTCACTGGGTTTGCGCATAATTAGGTTTCAGTGTAGTATGAAGTTAGGCTAATTAGTGCCTTGCTTAGGGATTTTTCAATATGGTCAAAGCCAGTGTTTTGGGCTGTTATGCACAGGTCATCTGCACAGATGAAGCATTTTATTTCCAAATCAACTGGCTGGTCATTTGTATGGTAAGTGATGGGCTATGAGCAGCAAAAAGAGACATCAAGTGAGAGTGAAGAGACTCAGACTCCACATTATGGACATGGAGAAGGGGTTCTACACAGGATGACTGCAAAGATGAAATGGCTCATTTATCTCAATCTCCCTCCTTTATTCCCCAAAATCCAACCCAGCTCACTGTAGTGGCATACCAAATGTCAAGTTCACTGTATGACCTGGTTATATAAATGAGCTACTGCAAGGTATACTAGGGTGTGGATTAAAAATACATTAGCTACTTTGTGTTAACTACTTGTGTGCATGCTCTTACCCCATGATAAACATGAGGCATCTAACCACTCCATGAAAGGTGGATTTAGACATTTAATGCAACGTAAGAGCTTGCACACAGGCAGCTACTTTGGAGTACCTCACATGTGGTAAGTCTATCTTACCTTGCAGTACTTTGTATAGCTGTGCCCTTACTATGCACGTGTTTGGAGCTTTTTTACAATTAAGCCTTGTGATATAGGGAACCCAAGGAAGCCCATGATCAAACCACCCATGTTTGAACCATTAACTCTATGCCAAATCCAATTCTCCATATGGTGTTGGGATGGCAGCACCATGGCTGAGGTTGCACTAGGAATTTCAATTGTAACAGGGATGAAAAAGACCCACCAAAATTGTTTCAGTCAGAATACCTATTTAACATATTTATTGTATTCTGTATCCTGCCTGATTTTTCTATCATTTGAGGTTTGTTATGACTGTATTAGGATAGGGCCATAAGTTTTCTAGCCTCTGATACTACCCTCCATGAGGAGCCCTTGCAGAACGCAGACAAAGAGCAAATAATGTGCACAACATACATTCTTAGACCACCACCAAAGGCAGGACTTGAACTCTAAAGTACTTCATGTCATTAGCCAAAGCACATCAACCTTCAGACGCCCACTTTCTTACATCAGACTGCCTAAAAACACTCTTGGCTTGCACTAGAATCCCAGTTGTGCTGCACAGGTCTAAATTACTCCTTGGCTTATTAGCTTAGCTCAAGTCATGCTGTTGATCCAAATTTTACTCTTAATTTTCCCAAAGATGCTGAACACTAGCCGAGATCAATCCCATGAAGGTGATAGCAGTTTGGCAAAGATCTGAGCTATAGTTTGAACTTCAGGTGTGCAACAAAAAGTTGCAAGAACCATAACTTTGTCATGTGATTTTTTTAAAATTTTTTCTTTGAAGGGAGCAGTATCTTGGCAAGTCCTTGCCCAGACAATGTTAAACTAAATCAGTTAAGATATGGTCTCATCCTTAACTATAGTGGTGCTAGCACCCAATTCAACTTATGCTTATATAGTCTTGAAAGTATGTAAACTAAAAGTATGAAGATTAGTCAGTTAACTTTCAATTCTGAGGTAGGTGTTTCCAGTTCACAGATGGTAGGAGAGGTATTTTACATGAAAAGGATGGGCGTAAATTTAAATTTTCATTATATCTGTGCAAATTGCTGCAAAGAAACTTATTCTGCTTTAAACCACACTTATTTCTGTTTTGTCAGTATCAAATAGGAATCAATGTAAACTAAACCAAATTAAGTTTTCAAACACGGACAAATCCATGTTTATCAAAGTGCACGGGCACAGGAACAACTTATGAGGTAAGCTAGGATGTGAACGTCTATCATCAGTTACTCTAAGGTAATTACCTATATGAAAGCTGTTACTCCATACTATGCTAAATAGGATACATCCCACTTTTCACTGAACAGTCACAAGATAAGAGCCAGGCACATGGGTGTGCTGCTGTAGAGCAGCTGTCACACTGAGTACATTCCATAGTTTACCTAATGGTAAACTCATTCATGCAGTCGTACCTTAAGTCATTTTTTAAAAAACCCAAACAAGTTTTAAGTTAACTGTCATGTTGACTGGGTTAAGTAACATGGCTAAAAATCACAGCCAGAAACAAAAGCAGAACCAAATTTGAAATCAGGAGCTTCTGGCTCCCCCATCATATGCTCTGTCCAGATAATATTTTGCCCATCCAGACAAAGCTAGCTATTCTTTTATGTCAGATAAGAATTACCTTAACCTCTGCAGCCATTTTATCATTTGCAAATCCATCAACTGAAAGCTGGAAAAAAAGAGAAAAAACACATTTAGGTTAGGGGAACTTTTTTAAAATATAATTGTTTAGATGTGCTAAATTATATGCCCAACATTTTCCAAGTAATTGAGCATACCTTTATTAGTCTGGATATTAAGAATCCACCCTGGTAACGGTTATAAAGTTCTTCCCAGTTATCCTTCACAAATTTCCAGGCAGCTTTTCTCCCCTGCTTGCTGCCTCCAGCTACTCCACCAATAACAGACACAGTGTCCTGGGGACGTACCTCTTCCTGCAAAGAAACAGGAAGCACCCATTCAAGCAAGTTTTCGCAAAGTTTCCCAAGGACCCTGTCATAAAACACACCAACTCTGAAGACAGGGAACCCAACTCAATCTAATCTGAACACTAAAAATGCCAATATGCAAGGCAACACCTTTTATAGCCTTCTTGATACCCCCATCTTCAGAAATCTAGGCAGCATGTAACATACAATAAAACTCAAGGACACAGGTGGCCAACCTGCAGCATGAATGTCAAAAATGACAGGAGCATCCTCTATGTGCGGCACACAGCAAACTAGGAAGGAGACGGGCAATACAGCAGCAGATACGGCAGAAAGAAAAATAGATCAGGCTAGGGTGGGGAACAGAGTGGCACTCTGAGAGGATGCAATGCTAATTTATGGCACACCTACCAAAAAGGCTGCCCCCCCCCAGCTCTAGAAGACTGGCAACCAGGCCAGTGAATCAAAAGAATCCTCTCTCAAAAGTAGCTATAACACTGCATCCTACCCATCACAGGTCTCTCCACTTCACCCTGTGATCTCCCATGTTTTCTATACAATCTCCCTTCCTGTGAAGCAAGGAAGCATCAGCTTTCCTGGTAGGTAACTTACTGAAAGTGCAAAGGTGAGAACTTTTTGAATCAGTTCAGGTTGAGAGATGGCTCCGAGAACTCGCTCAATCCGGTTCTTCTCCTCCTGCATATCTGCTTGTTTGTGAAGCTGCAAGGAGAAAGGGCAAACATTAACATACTCACAGCTTAGGAACACACGCCATGTGGGATCATATCCAGTATTAATAAAACTCTTATTAATTAAACTGGAGCTGCAGGGCTGGCATTCAAGGATAGCTTATTATAATCTGAACCTATGGTATCACACTGCTTGTGAATATTTTTACTGTTTTCCACATTACATATTCAGAAGCAGAGTGTGTTGTCAATTGGGAATCAAAACTAATTCACCACTCATTTAATATAAGGACAAGAAGAACTACTCCTTTGAGCAATGGTATATGCAATAGCCCACTAGATGGCACTTTAACACTGTGTGAGATCAAAGAGTAGCACAGCAAGGCCCTGTTTTTCACATCACTGTCAGAAGATTAACTACTTGGAGCAGTCTGCAGGGTGGAGTGTTTAGATCCTGCCTATGCAAATGGACAGAGTTGAGAGGAGCATAAGGCAATATAACTGTCCACTCACCTTTAGCATAGTGTCTAAGGTAGTACTATCTCCGTGCTTCAAAACTGTTACATATACCTAAGAAGGGAAGGAACACAAAGCATGAAAGAACTTCGTAAACAAGCTTTTAGAAATGGAAAGCCGAGCTACTTCAGCAAGAGATGGGAATAAGGATAACTGGTTTATAGGCAAGGTACAACAGGCAATTTTTACAATGGAAATTATCTGCAGTGACAAACTCCTCTCCTCACTGGTGTGCAACCAGATTTTGGAGATGTTTACTAGTCCTGAAAGCACTGGTGCTGGTCTAATGTTGTCACAAAACAGAAATATTTTTAAAATCCACTTTCTCCTTGTCCTCAGCACCTCGATTCTATCCTAATTTTGGCAGCTTCCACCTCAAGGAACACCAAAGCTAAAAATCACTGCTTTAAAGAATGTTACTAAACTTCAATCCAGTTACAAAATTGGAGACCTGTTTTGGCTGTTAATTTAAAGGGTGGACTGGTGGTGCTTACAGAAAATTTCAAAAAGAAAATCTATGGTGAATTGATTCTCGGTTAAATAAGGGTCGCTTTCCTGAGTCTGGTAACTCAAGAGGAATTTGGTCTGAAAACTACTGCCTTGATCTAATCCATTCTTTTTGGCACTGATCCCAGACCACTGCAACTCTGAACCCCTTGGTTTGAGAACTGATACAATAAGGGTTTTCATGACATTGGAAACCTTTAAATGTGCTAAATAGCATCCAAGTGAAAGAATAAAAGGTCTCAATTAAGTAGGTTAACCCACTAGTGACAGATGTATATACACTTTTATAAGCCTTCATTTATCTGGCTGTCTGGAGACAGCCAGTAGTGTAAGGGGTTAAACTGAAATACTGCCTAGGAGCTAGCAACATTCAATGTAGGACAAGGCAGAAATGCATTTAACAAGCAAGTCTTAATGCTGCAACAGTGATTTTTTTTTTACTTTGCTAAAGGGAATGAGGATGAATTCGCCAACATGTTCCAAAGAACTGGTCTGGACTGTAATCCTGCCAGAAGCAAAATGCCAAAAATAAAAGGGCTTGTTGGACCAAGGTGGAGATCTGCTCTGTACAACCCAAGACAGAGATAAAACTGAAAGCAGAAAGTGCTGCAAAAGTATTAATTCTGGTCACTGTAACTACAAAAGTTGAATACAAAACAAAGGACTAAGCCAAGAGTAGGATGGGATCCTTCAGAAGTTTAAGGTAACTTACAGGACTTCTCAGGTCAGCTAACAGGATGTGCTTTCCTTCCACATGGTCCTTAAACCGGCGTCGTGCTTCTTCTAACGTTGCCTTATGCCCAGCTTTTCCTAGTTTGCCCAAAACCAGGCCCCTCAGAAGTGCATCTAGATGACCTGATAAACAGGAGTGGAGAGAAAAAGAAAGACAGTAAGTTAATTTGGGGCATCAACAGTTGAATTCACAAAATGCTTAGCACATACAGACTAATTAAGATAAGATGCAACTGCATAACTCAGTTCCCTCCCTCATATTTGAAACTATCTATAGAAAATAGGCTTTTTCCACTCCTGTGGTTGTGCTTTGAGAATGCACTGATTTTTTTTTAAAAGGGAAATGATAAGAGGGTTACGAGAAGGGGATTTTGCAGGCTAGACATAGTTAGATCTGCAATCTGCGTTAACTGAAGACCCATATAATGTCCAGTCAAGCCTCAAGTGCTTTGCTACATCATGACTCAGATTGGTTAGGATAAGTAAAGCATGCATGGATATTGGATACAGAAGATTTCTCTTCAGCCTTGTAAGTTTTGCATTATCAGATGCAGACCCATAGTAATTTCTTTTCAAGGTACAGAAAAACAGACTACATAGATCATAACATGTCAGCTCTCCAGCTGCAGCAGGAAAATATGAGAACATTTTTCTAAAGATACTAGCAGCAGTGCCACAATTTGTCAATTTTTCATCCTTCAAAGTCTCAGCCACATAGCACTCTCTCAAAACACTATTCTATTAGGTTATACAAATTAATATCTCCTACCTTCTCCAGGTTTGGGGTCCCATCCAAGTCTCTCCCCTATGGGTGAAAAGACATCTTTCACGAACACCTGGATTTCCTCATAGAAGTCTGTGTGGGACAAGAGAGTTGAGAGAATCCCCAGGTTACAGCTCAGGTCGCTCCACACAGTATAATTGGGCTCATTCACAAAAGCTTCCATGACTTTTAGAACCTCTACAGTGCTAATGATTCCAGCTCGGGCCTGGGAGAGGAAAAGACACAGATTAATCTCATCTCCGAATAGGACTGATGCATTCAATAGTTCACCACAAAAATCTAACATTCTTCCCTCTTCTTGGTCTGCAGTACTATGAGATCCACTTGTGTATGTGTGTGGTGGAGGGTAGAGGGGAGTGGTCAAGATGGGCAAATTCTACTGAAAGTCTTACTTGCCTGCTCAAAACACTCAGTGCTTTTCACACACAGAAAAAGCAATTTTAACAAAGAGTGTAAACCCCATTTTCCAGATGGGAAGACTGAAGCAACACAGTTAAGCAACTCTCTCGAAGTCACTAGTATTCAACCAGAGCACCAAAGACCACTGATACTCAAGATACTGCTTCTACTGAAACCTCATTTTAGACTAAAAAGGGTGTTTAAATACACTTACATTTACTTGTTATCATTTATGATGTTTATTTTTTTGGCTATTGCTCAGTTCACACAGTGGAACTACAGAGGTCAGTTTCATTTCCCAGTTCTCATGCACTGGCATAAAACTTACATTTCTAGCACTGCAGGGAAACATCTACATAAATGCTTAAGAGCATCATGAAAACGTTTCTATTCCCAGTGCAACACTTGACAGCATTCCCTTAAAAACTGTGTGTCTAAGCCATTACAAACTTTACAAGCTTAAGCCCATTCCTACCTCTTCTAAATTGCAGGAAGTCAATGCAGTCTCAAATTGTATTTAAAAGCCCTTAACTGATTGCTGCCTGGCAACACAGTGTGGCTTCAGTTACAGCAGTTAACAGGTCCAAAAGCCCACCTCATGAGATATTTGTGTATTCTAAGAGGTGACAATCAGAAGCTGGTGCATCTTATTTTAACACTAATCTCTGCTTTTACATAGTGAGAGTCCAAAACAAGTCACTTCTTCAGCAACAAGCCCATTTCAGGAAAGGAAGAAGGGGAGTGATAACTTCACAGTTAGTGCTCAAATCCTCCACAACAGCTAAATTAAGTATGTAATATGGGGGCATGAAATATTTTTTCCCACCAAGGAAAGACAGTGGACAGCCTCTTTGGATAAGCCCTCTGGCTCAAATCCCTTGCAGGAAGTCAGGAATATTTCCTGACTCAGCTGAAAGAAGCCAGGGGAACTTTTCAAAGTTTTCAAATATTTTCAGTTCATAAAAAAACCCAAGTGTAAAACATCCCTGCAGGGAAAACAGCAAAACAGAGTTGTAGGCTCATATTTGTGCCACAGGATTTAAGTCCGTCATGCAAGGTGAAGCTTGTCAAGCTAATTAATAATCATATATATGCAGTAATCGCAAAGGGGCTTCGCCTCCAGGAACTGAGCCTGGCTCTTCAGATACTATTTTCTATAGTAACTGTGGTTTGATTATTAGTCATCCACAAAGCAGACCACACAGGGTAGGATAAGGATTGCTCACCAGAGAGAAGAGATCGTTCTGTAGCCCAAGTCTGTCCACAGGGGGTAGGGTGAGGTCTTTGATTGCTGGTATTAAACTCTCCAGCATGTCAGGGCTGTATTTAGTACGATAAAACCCTACTGTTCCCAGGTTTAACTGAAATGCACCAAAACAAAAACAATAACAAGTTCATTAGCACAGAACAAATAAGCAACCATGCTGTCCTTCTGGACTACACAAAAACAGTTTCCTAACTTCCATATACTTCAGTGTTTTGCAAGAAAATCAGCCACAGTCATTGAAAAGGTCACAACTTTCTTGTAAGCAGGAATTTAGAATACCTAGTAAGGGAGAGAAAAGAAAGCCAAGATCTGAAATAAAGCACACAAAAGGAGAGAAATACAGGAAGCCAGGAAACTGATGAAGCAAGAGCTCTTGGACTAATAATGACAAATTTGTATATTGGAAACAGAGGCTATGGTTAAACTAGAGGAGAAGAGAAGAGAAATTGGTTCAGGGTGGGATGGACTAAATTCAGGGAGGGTTATAGCAAAGACGACAATTTTGAACTGAAGTCTGAAATTAACTGTTGTTAATAGAGCTGCAGGGGGATGAGTCAGCCTCGCCACATGTCTGTCTCTATGAAGGCAAGGTACAGAAATGGTGTTAGAACAGGGATGGGCAATTATTTTAGCTGGAGGGCCACTTAATGACTTTTAGTGAGCAGTCAAGGGCTGCAAGGGTAGCCTGCCCGTTGATGGGTGCCATGCCCCCGGTTGCCATCTGGGCCCTGAAGTCCCCACCCCTATCCCCTGACCCCCGCTACTGGAAGTCCCTCCTCTTGCCCCCAGAAGTACTCCTTTTGGGAGGAGGGTTTGCCATCTTGGAATCAGAAAAAAAACAAAATCATATAATAAATATCAAACATCTACTACAAAATATTTTAACTTTATTTAAAAAATATTCTTGTCCTGATTTATGTGTTTGTGTACTATATATAGAGAAGATCGCATAATAGCTCAAAATAAAATCTTACTCTTGTATATTGGGGATGGGGGTGTCTGTATGGTGGGCATGGGATGTGTGTGGGGGTTGTGAATATGGTAGTGTGCATGTGTAGGCACCCCCCCACACACACTCCCCTGTCCCCATGGCGCACAGCCCCCGCTCTCAGCGGCAGCAACAGCACCAGGTAGTGGGCCCTTGGGGTGCCCATGTCCCATGGTGCCCCCTAGTGGCGGCTCTGGCGGAGTCCCAGGAGCTACACATGGCAGCAAAGAGCTGGCCTGACCTAGCCGGATGGTGCATGACTAGAGTGCCAGGAGCCACATGCAGCGGCATGAAACCAGGCCAGCCTGATGGTTTGCGGCTCCCGGCTTCAGTGCCAGGAGTCTGATGTGGCGGCAGAAAGGTAGCCAGGCCCGATGGCATGCAGCTCCCTGCTGGGGTGCCAGGAGCTGTGGGGAGCCACTCACCATCAGGTCAGGCTGGCTTCACGCTTCCACGTGAGGCTCCTAGCACTCCAGCCACACGTGCAAGCACAGAGCCGGCCTGGCCTGGCTTGACCTAATGGCACGTGGCTCCTAGCTACAGTGCCGAGAGCCCCACATACCTGGCCTGGCCCAATGGCATGTGGCTCCCAAACCGAATGCCACTCCAGCTGGGAACACCACATGGTGGCACGGAGCTGGCTCCACCCAATCACACATGGCTCCCTGCGGCTCCTGGTACTACAGCTGGGAGCCTCAAATCATCAGGCTGGGCCGGTTCCGTGTCTTCATGTGGGGCTCCTAGCTGGAGTGTTGGGAGTCCCATGGAGCTGGAGGCACAGACCTGGCCCAGCCCAATAGCGCACAACCTCTGAAAGCCCACACCTACTGCTGGCTTTCAGAGGGGCAGCCATGGGCCTGTAATAACTGTCTTTTGGAGGGGCCCCATGGGCCGGACAGAACGGTCCAGCAGGCTGGATCCAGCCCCTGGGCCGTATTTTGTCTGCCCACATTAGAACCTAGAATACTTTAATGTGGAGACTTCATAAAAAGGGACTGGAACATAGACAAGCATCTAAACATTAAAGAGAAGATCAGAAGTGCTGCACCTAACCTCACTCTACAACTAAATTCAGTTCTGATATTGGTACTGTTACTGCACCTTCAGGAATCATTCACATCTTGCAAATAAAAATTTGCAGAGATCTCTTTTCTTTTCCCACAAAAAAGAAACATGTTCAAAAGTGATTCATGGTAAGTAGGCTGAATAAGTTGTATAAGTTGTATATCACCTGATGTAAAATGACATGGCAATGATTCAAGGCAACTGGATCAGGTGGTTTAACAATGCTGAAGTAGAAATTCCCTCAACAAGGCTTTTAAAAATTACCACCCAGTTAAGACAGACAGAAGTCTCATACTCTGTTAGTGTTGCTCCATTTTAAAATCTCTTACAATGCCACCTGTTAAAATCTAAATAAAACAGTATTTATCCTTCACCTAGGAGTCCAAAGTCAAAATCTCAGAAAAATACTTTCATGTCTGAAGCAAAAAAAATGTCTGAATTACACAGGATAGGAGATTAAGGAAATTAAAAATGAAGCTCTATACTGGAAAGAGACAAATAAAAAACTGGGGTTCCAGATGTGCCACACTGACTCCATGTTAAATAGTTCCAGGGTCTGTCCATTCTAGCACCATAAAAGTAAAAGTAGCATAAAGATAGCTCGTCTATGAAATGAGTAAACTAATACTAGTAAGTAGACTAGTA